GTGTGTCGCACAACGGCTCTGCTAGGTACGATCTGCTCGGGTGAATAGGCGCAAATTGAAAGAAAACAGACGGCAATTTTGGAGAAATTGTTGGCCGCCTGAAATTGGTGTAAGTGAATATTAGAATTTCGCGTATGGTGAAGCGCGCGAGGTCGTGGCTTAGATGCTGGCCTGACTCGCTCGCACGCAGCGCGACGCCACTGGATGCTGTCCCGCACACTACCGTCAGTTCCGCACACAACAGATGCCGCCAACGCCACCTGCATCGGCCGCAGCCACGCAGAAGGCGCACACACAAACGCGCTGCGGCAGTTGCGTACGGTGTCACACACGCACAGGCGAGCAGACACACCCAGCGCGCTCACGCACACACACGTACGCGCCTCGTACGCACAGTTTATCCACCAGCTACACACAGTTTTATTGTCACACACAGAGCTACAGCAACACGCCTACGCGCGCGTGCTACTAGACTTTCATAGTTCACACACCGGCGGCATTAAGGTGGTGTTTGTGTGGCCTGTCGCCACTGCACCGACCGGCGTTCTACTACTGGTCGGTTTTGCTGGATTTGCTGGTGGTGCAAGGGTGGTGGTGTAGGTTGGTGCGCGCTGGGTGATTCGTGTTTCGTCTGTAGTAGGTCTGTTTTTTTACTGATTCCGAGTCCGGGCTGTTCCTTCGGTGTGATGTCTGGTTGTCTTTTAGTTTCTTGTACGCACGCACAGCAAGAACACGCACCGTTCGATTTTGCGGTCAGCCGTCGCAACAGGGTTTTGCATCATTTTCTACGTCTTCATCGTATCTCCACATGCCTTGCTGGGAGAGAGAGCGCCACCTATCGGTGTGAGTCAGAGCGCCGGAAATGATCTATCGAGCCAGATATTTACCGATAGGCTTATTTCGCCGTTTAGCGTAATTTAAAAAAGTGAGTGACGTCACCGCATGCGAGCTATTCAGATCCAGCTAGGCCTCGTACTCCTGCCTTTACTTAAAATCAGTGGTGTACTTTCTAGTCTACTCTCAACATACACTGCACTCGATTGAGATCAACTTAACGCCTAATCTCTAGTGATTTTGTCCGCAACCGTCATCTCCTACTCTATTAGTACCTCTATTATTTCTTGAAGCCGCTCATTTAATCCTGTCTATACCTAAACTCACTAATAACCTAGTTCGATAGCCTCAATCCTATACATCCTACTTTTTTCATAACTGCACTAATTTCCTAAGTCCACTTATACGCATATATACACAAATATAGCCTTATACTCTAACTCATGTATATTCTCTCCACGTTTCCTATACGGTGACTATACACGGTTAAGGTTAGTGTCATAACCCTTCGAACCTCTCAACGTTCTCGTGTAGATCACCGCCATCAGCATATTGGCACGCGCTTGTTATCTCTTCTCGATATTTATTATTTGCAGATTCCATACGTAAACTGCATCTTGCAATGCAGGCTCCGTGAGTTGATTATTGCTGGCTATATCAATGCTGTATATTTCTTTACTATTACGACAAATAGATTCATCATGGAAGGATAATAATAATTTTAGGATATTGCATTATTCTGAAGTTAATTATTATTGAACGGTTGTCGCTGATATACATTCATGCCGTATATCGGAGGTATAGCTTTGGGTTAACTATCATATAATGTAGTATATCTAATTAAGTAATGAGTTATATTTATCAATATTATACTTATATATTATTTGATTTCTATCATATAAGCATAGTCGAATTGTTGGGATGTGGAGTATATTTGCAGGTATGATCAGCGGTTGAATAATTTAAATACACTTCTAGACCTACTTTATTTAGGCTCTTGGTATGATCAGAAACGGGCTCGCTTCGCATGCCGTTTACGCCCTCCGCACATGCCAGCGCCGCATCGTACCGAGCAGGAGGCTAAGATAATAACAACAACGTTTGGGCTGTGAAAGAAATCAATTCCAGGTTGGTGCTATTGTTTGAGGTCCTACGAAATGAGTTCCGCTGCTGCAGTTTATTGACTCAGCTGTTCATATTATTTTGATCAGCGTCGAGGCGTGAAGCTAGTCCGGCTTATTTCGATTTGTCTATTTTTTGTATTTTCTTTCTTTGTTTTTTTTTTTTCACTCATCTTATTATGGCTCTTTATTTTGTTTTTTGTTTTTCTCGTTTTTTTCTCATTCCTTTTTTTTATTTTTCTTTTTTTTTAGGTAATGCATTTTCTGTTTATTATTGTTTCTGATCATGCTTTTTCTTTTATTGGTTCGTCCTCCGTCTTCTCGTATTACTTCTATTGTCAGGATTTTGTGTTGTTTATTGTTCATTGGGTTTCTGCGTGTGTTCGTGCGGTTACGGTTTTTTAGCACGTGTCCCGCTTTGGGGCGTTTTGCCGTCCGCCGGTGTTTGGTCATGTGGGTTGCGCTGTGGCGTTTGTTGCGACGGTGTCGTTGTGCGGTTGTTTTTTGTGGGGGGGGGGGGGGTTGGCGCCGTGCCCGTTGTGTGGACTTTATTGGTGGGGTCGGTGGGGGGAGTTTATGAAGTGCTTGCCGTCGTGTTTTTTCGTCGCTTGCGGTGACCGTTGCTTGTGTTTACTTCACTTGGTTTTGTAGTTTCCATGCTAGTGTCATGTCCATTTTTGCGCGAGCGGTGAGTCGACCTGAGTGCAGTCTGGTTGGCACGGCTTCTGTCTCTCTGTGGGCCTGGCTCCGTGCAGGGGTCTCGGCGCGTCCCGGTCAGCCGTTTGTCGAGTACCATGTCACAGTCCCGGTGTGGTGTTGGGTTCCTGGCCGTCCGACCGGCCTCTGCTCTCTGGGTCTGCTGCCCTGTCCCCGTCGTCCAGGATGTCCCGTGCCGTTTCCGGGCTCCCCTCCTCCGTTCGTCCCCCTTCGTCCTCCTCCATGCCTCGCCCCCTCCCAGTTTTCCGCCTCACCTCCATTGCCGCGCCCTTCCAGTTTCTCCTGCGGCGGGTCCTTCCCTCTCGCGCGGCCACGCAGTGATTGCCGTGCATGTGCATGTTGACGCCAGGTAATCTTCCTCCCGTCTTGTTCGTGCACTGGGGCTGCCCACGTGCTACCTTGTCTGTCCTTCCGCTTTCTGCTTCCTTCTTCCACATTGTTGGCCGCCTGACACGTGCTGCTGCTTTGCACTCCCTCGCCTTGCGGATTCCTCCTCCCTGGTCACCTGGGGCTCCCTCTGGCAATCAGTCCTTCCCCCCTGTGTCTCTTTCTCCTTCTCCCTTATCCTCTCCCTCTTTCTCCCCTGCTCTCTCCTTGCCCTGCTCCTTGCTTAATCGGCCCTCTCTCATTCTCCTCCCTGTGCGTGTGGCCGCTGTCCTCTTCCGGCTGGTCTCCCTGGCCACCCGTTCGGTCGTCATTGCCTCCCGCCCGCCTACGACTCCTCAATCTCTCCGTCTTCCCTCTTCTGGTTTCTGGGGTGTCCTCTGGTGGTTGGCTCGTAGCGTGCGGTCGCCCCACGCTCGCCACGCGCTGCGGCGCGGTCGTTGTCGCCCCCGGCACCGTCCCCTGGTCGCTCGCTCGCGTCCCCCTGTGGTCCTGTCCCCGCACTCCGTGGGCCATGCCCGGCTGCTTCCTTCGCCGCTGTTGCTCCGGGCTCCTGTCGCTTGGCCGCTTCTGCCTCCGTCGCTTTCTGGCGCGCTGC